GTGCTTAGCGAAAACCATATAAGTTATTTAAAAAGATACTGTGAGTGTCAGACATCCCTCTACTTCGATCGTGCTGACTTTGGTGCATGTATGTCATTCAGAAAAATATTTATGACGATGTAAAAACACTTAGTCACATTTGTTTTTCTTCCCTACTCTTGTTGAAAAACAATGAGAAAATGGTCAAAAAATCAAGGATTTTTTTTGGTTGGTCTGGTGGGGTTTTGAGGAAAAGTCTAAATCCTACAGTAATTCCAAAGACATTGTGTGAAAGCAGAGGCTTCAGTCTGGAAACTGACCAAAAATGGTGACTCTAGAGCAAATATGTGGCCGTGACAGCGATTTCAAAACTTTAGATGCTTTTTAAAGAAACTCTCTCACTCAGTTGTGTCACTCTGAGTTGCTGGATTTTGTTCAAACTTTGTGGTGCTTGAAAGCTGATTTGAGAAAACCCACAGCAGCTATCAACATACCATTTTCAGTTTTTGACAGAAGAAGGATTTATCTACAAACGCAGCTTCAAATTGTGTTTCTAAGTGAACATATGACCACACAGCAACTGCTCAAAAACAGTGGATTTTTATGTCTTCTTATAAAGTAATAGAACCCATCTTGAGACCGAGCCGGACGTCTTGATACCTACATTGTGTGGGTGCATCCTATGGTTCGGGCCACATTACTGTTGGTGTAAGAATAAATAAATAGATAAATACACAAATAGTCAGTTTCTTGGCAACAATAATAATAGGTGCCATTGCTTGCAAAAGTTTTAAATGATCTATGATGTTAAGAAGAAAAAAAGAAAGAAAGAAAAAGACTAAATGGAAAAAAGCAGGACTAAAGAATCAATTTTCTAGACTAGATTCTAAAGTTACCCCAAACCATTGCTGGAGTCACTACGTTTACGCCGCAGGCCTTAATGCTGAATTCCGATTTTTTTTGGGGGGGAAATACGATTTTTTTGCGTTGCTGTTCACATTTCCAAATATATGCTACTTGTATGTAACTCCTGTGTGAACTGCAGTCATCCCACATGCGCAGTAGAGGACGCAATGACATCACAGGCCAGCGTGCTCTGTGTTTACGGAAGTCAAGGGTGGTAGTGACCTTTGTCGGGTATTAATGGCGTTCAGGTCGGATGAATGCGACCTGGCCGTTCAGACACAGGTCGCATTTGAAAAGATTTGTATCGGATTCAGAACCACATAGCCAAGAGGCCTGGGTCACATTAGAAAAAATCGGATCTGCGTTGTTTGAACAGCCATAAAAAGATCAGATACAGGTCGCATAAGGGCCAAATAATCGGATTTGGGTGACTTCAGACTGCAGTGTGAACGGAGCCTTAGTATTATCCACTGCATCACTTGCATTTCAAATCCTTCAGAAATAGACGTGTTAAAATCCAGAGTGTCAGATTTCTTGGCTTCCTCTGCCTTACAGTAGACAAGCTATGAATAGCACCTCAGTCTTACAGGAATTCCCAGTCTGGCAGCACATATGGCATACTCTCTGGAACGAAACATAGTTGTGGATAACCACTAAAGCATGGGCTACATTATTTCTAATACTGAAGTACAGGCTGTCAAGAGCACAAGTCAGAACCAGTTATAGTATTTTTTCTCCAGGCTTCAGCTATAAAGAGTTAGCAGCTACTATGTTCACACACTGTATAAGGTACACCTGTTCCACCAGTTGTTATGACAATTGGTGAATCAGTCAACCACATGGGAGCAGTCAGAGCAGTAAAGCAACTAGACATATGAAAGACAAGTTTCGTAAGTTTAGACTGAGCATTTGCATGAGTAGAGAAGGTATTTCAGTGATCGTAGCATGGTAGACAGCCTGATCTGATGACCTCAGACACTTTTAATCTAAGGTTGTTTTTTTTCAGATATAGTAATCTCAGGTATACAGAAAATGGTTGCAAAGACAGAACGTATCCAGTCAGTTGCAGTTGTGTGAATGAAATTGATGTCAGAGGTTAAAGCGGATGGGCCACAGCAGTAAAAAAAAAAAAAGCAGGTGTTCCTCCTGTCCTAAGCTAAGCACAGTTATCTAAGGCCACAGTTCACATAGTGTTACAAATTGGGAAATCATTACATGGACATAATTCGGCATAAAACCTGACAGCAAGGAACCATCCTGCCTCATATCAACAGTTAAAGCTTGTTTTCGTTGTGAGACACCTCCCACCTATAGTCCATCTGATCATTATTTAAACTCCAAAGAGAGCCTGAGAAATATTTGGGACTATTTCTATCCCTTCATGAGCACAGCATGTTTATCTTCTGATGATTAATTCTAGTAAGATAACACAACATGTCCCAAAATCTTAAAGGAACCTTTTTTATGCTTGAGTTCAGTGTCGTCAAACAGCCTCCACCGTCACCAGATTTTAACAGATTTATACCATTAAGTTCAGCTGCAGCAATCATTTGATGTTAATAAAAACTAAAATACCTAAAGAAAGTATCATAAATAATTACATTTTTCAATTCTTAATGTAACACAGAGACTAACCTAACACCAGCAAGGTGTGCTAAACAACATAACCAGCGGTAGTAAATTAACATCGTTTCTGAAACATAGAATAAAGCAGAATAAATAGAAAATTATAAGATTAATACATTAATACATCTATATGCAAAACAGATTGCAACAGTGTTAAAGTTTATTCAGACGGACTTGTGCATCTGGCAAAGTATCCCAGTTTTTATTATGGTTGTTCCAGCCACACCAGGTGTCTCCAAGATGACATTTTCCCAGGATGACACAAACTTGCAGACTCAATATTTAGCCCTGACACAATACTGGCCTGTGAGTGCGTACAAGCTTTGAGCCTGTGGGAAATCAGTTGACTGTTTATAATAAACACAGATTCAAAGAACTGCACAAGGTTTAACCTGTGCTGAGAAAAAAACTAAATGTTAGGAAACCTTTCAGTTTGCGAAAACAGATTATAACCATCTCCTTAAACAAATCCAGAATATACCTACTCTAATAAGACATACATAACAACACGTTTTCAATACAGATTTATTTTTACCGTGACTTCATTAAGTACACTAGGATTAAGGTTAATGTAAATATATTTATATATAAAATATATTTATATTTATATATATATATATGTAATGCGAATAAAAAAACTAATGATTTTTGAATTATGATCACTCAATCTATATTTTAAAGATAACTACCTTAAAGCGGGAATTAAACAACTTTCATTAAGCTCCCATTTTAAATTACCATTTTGTTAGTTAAATACAATTTCTAATCATTAGTTTCTTTGTTTTTAAGTGGGAAACCATCATAATAAACAAAAAAAGTGGAAATTATTCTGCATAATTTTCACACGGAGCTCATGACATGTCCTCCTCCATGTCCAGTTTGAAGAAAACACGAGCATAAATGTAAATCTGCAGGCAAATGACCACCTGAAGCTGCTTTGACTTCGTTATATGAAGGAATGAGAAAGAACCAGACGAACCTGTTCATACTTCTAGTCACACCAATGGTCTGCCAATAAACTGTAATGAAACAGGAAATGTTTCTATGAAAGATCTGAGTTGCAGATACTTTTTGGAAATCTTCACGATGTTCTCTGAACTAGACACGTCTTAGCCCTTTTATAATCTAAATGGAACAGTGTCAAAGCTTCACTAATTATGTCATCATTAGGTGATTTCTGTTCCATTTCCACCTCTAAGCAAATTAAAACTGAAATAAACTGTCAGACTATAGATTACAGATAAAAAGAACTTGCTGAGAATTACCAGTAGGCCAACCTAGTTTGCCTTTTAGATGTGTGCTAAGCAGGGTTTAATGCCATGATGAAATGTAAACAGCTGCTTAACCGAAATCCTCAAACTGAGCTGTAGTTAAAGTAAACATTCGGGACCAACGTTTCATTTTTTCCACAAACGGGAATTGCTGTAATAGTCAGTAAAAAAATCAGTTTTGCTGTACTCCTTTGGGTTTTGTCAAGTTTTATTATGTGGGGAAATACGACCCATCATAAATTAGGTTTGTGAGCTTTTTTGCAGGATCTTTAAATAAAACCGAACATCCCCCACCTACAGCTGCAGGCAACTAAGTGACAGACTGGTCTGGTTTCAGAATTATGAGTGCTACAGAAATAGGCCCCCCAGATGTTTCTCTTCCGCCTTCATGGCAGATGCTTTTGGTTCAAGGAGTAAAGGTGCAACAGGTCACATCACAGATTGAGCAAAGACTATGATTAAAATGCAGCATAAAAAATATATATTTAGAGCAATTCGGAGAACTTTCAGAACGCACATTAAATCAGTTTATAATTAGAAACTAAAAGACAAAGATGTTTAACTATAACTATCACCTTCGGAATGAAAAACATTCAGTCACTGAAGAGAAACCAAGTTCTAGATGCTTGTCAAAGGCATCCTTTGTTTAGTCAACACAGCTGAGGGGTGAGTTTAAAAAACAAATAAAAATAAATTAGTATTTTGCATTTAGTGGCACCACCAGTCCTTTACAGCATAGCAGCAGCTTTAAGGAGAGTTGTAGTGGATGTATGTCATTGTAAATATATATACACATTTAGATTGGGAATACATTCAATGATTTAGCTTCTCCCCACACCAGGAAAAATACTGAACACATTAGTGCTTTATGCACAAGCTGCAAAGTTTAGGACAATCAGAGGAGACATCTGATACAATCACAACTACATTGTAAGGTCAAGTCTGTCAATGATTGTTCCTGCAGTTTAATTCAGTGACCTGCTTCACTGATTGTCCGGTTACAGGGCTCTTTCATCTAGCACGCGTCTCCCATTACAGGAAATGCGATTCTTAGCAACATTACCCCATTTATCAGCTAGTCCTCAGTCTATTACACAAGCTTTAAGGTGAAGAACCAACCAATTAAATCTAAGATCCTTCTTGTTACGCTCCAAGAATAAACCTAAACATAATCTCTACAACGAATCATATTAAGAAGCAGCACAGCACACTGTGATATGGTATAGACAGATCTTTATTAGAAAACAAAAAGCAATGCATTATACAAGCCAACAGCAAGCACAAAGTCAGGAAACTACAGTTAAGAAATCAAGATTAATCTATCATTAAATAGTCAAAAATCAGCAACCCAGTAATGGAAAAGAAAAGAAAAAACTATTTACAACAAAAATTCATGTTGACCAACATTTTAAACATGATTAGGCCCCTTTCTGGACTTGAAGCGGTCAAGAGGAAGATGAAACTGGGGTTATAACAGGTTAAAAAAAAAATAAAGGAGTCTGCAACATCAAGATAGAAGAAAATTACAAATTAATTTCTATCATTCTTGGGTCTGGATTTAAATGGAGGCTAAGCATGTGTGGAAATGTTATGGTGTTAGTTAAAATCTACAGCTCTACTTTAATTCCTGTTTTGCATGCCTAGTCTACAAAGAAAAACACACCACCTGCCTGTTTGCACAGGTGGTGCTTTAAGGTCAGGATTCAAACAGGGGACTGAGAGACACGCATGTACAGATGCTTCACCTAACTACCTCCCAGCCCCCTGCTGATAACTAATATCAGCAACTTCCATACTCTTCTCTAAGCTCTCAAACATTCCCTGTTCAGGGATCAGACACCTTCACACACGCCTTCGAGTTCCTAAAATGAATGCCTGATACTAAAAATGGTTTACTTTGCTTATAGCCTGTGAACACAACAGCAGAAACTAACCACAACTCTTCACCAAGCAGACTTTCTGTCATCTAAGCCACTGAGGCGGTCTTCCCACGGTGGTGTTTACGAACTTCTTCCATCAAGTCCTTGAGATACTGGATCTCTCGGCTGATGGACTCCGCTTTCTCCCTCAGCTCGTTGTTTCTCTTCTCCAGCTCTTCTCGTTCCGAGTTCAGGTACTCCTGTTCTACCCTCTTCTTCTGCCGATAACGAGTGGCGGCCGTCTTGTTCTGCTCCATCTTTTTCAATTTCTTTTCAACCACCTTGGGTGCACCAGACACAGATTTGACTTTGGGGGTCTTGGGAGAGGCAGACTCTGGTTTGCAGTAGGGTTTGGTTCTGGAGGATCCAGCGCTGGGGGAACTGGGAAGAGAGGGATGACGGCTGGGCGACCCTACGGCTGACTCGATTCCAGAGTCGCTTTCGGAGTCGCTTGAGTGAGAAGTGCTAATAGACAGATCAGGGAGAGAAATGACTGGGGGCTCATCTTTGTTCGAAAGAACAACTACAAAGTGAGCAGTGGTGGGAAGAGAGACCAGAATGGGACTGGCGGTCTGAAGGACTTCACTGGAATCTGAGATCACGGTAGTGGCAATGGATGGGGATATCTTCCCAACATCCAGAACATCGACTTCACTCCCCAGCTCCAAGGTGTAGGCTGGAGAGGGGGGAGATAAGGGGTGAGGGGATGAAGGCTCAGGCTTCAAATCCACATCTGGATCAGGAGCCACCTCTTTCCCCACCTGAACATCCACAAGAGGGGTTTCCAGGGGGTGGGAGGGGATGTCTGATTCTAGGCTGCTATGCTGAGATGAGATGGTTGGATTTAAGGAATCTAGATCCATATGAGGATCAAGGGAGGCCAAGAGATCTTCAGGAGAGCCGGTGGACTCCTCAGACGAGCAAGAGCCAATGAGGGATTCCAGGTCAAAATCACTCAGGTCGATCTTTTCCGACATCCAGTCCATACTGCCCAAATCATCTATTAACAAAAGAAAGGTCATCAAAAACCCTTTTAAAACAACAAATAAGCATCTCAAACATTTTTATAGCCATTTACCTTTACCATCGCCTGCTCCGTGCCCACTGAGCAGATCACTGTCACCCAGCAGGGAGAGGGGCAGCAGGTCCAATTCTGCCTTGGCTTCCGGGTAGAAGGAGGAATGAGTGAGAGGAGGGGACGGCGGTGGGGAGGTGGAGGAGAATGGAGAAAACGGCATGGTCTGATAAGGAGATGTAGAGGATCCAAAGGACGAGGAGAAAGAGAGGGAGGGCGAAGCAGGCGCCTTCACCTCAAAAGAGGAGGAAGGAGATAAAGCTTCTTCTTCATCTTGGTCCAGAAGGGGCCCCATGGGGTCAGCCATCAAAAACAAGGACCCTGTTAATAAGCAGTTATGGTGTTACATGACTTAAATGATAAAAAAGTACATTTCCATTAAAACGTGTCAAAAATAGTTGTGAATGTAAGCCAATAGGGCCTGTATGTATGCAGTGTAGGCGACAAAATGTCAGGAACACCTGTCACACAAACCTGAGTACAGGGTCTCCATGTCCTCCAAGGCTAGCTGGGAGAGTGTCATGGCGGCTGCTGGTCAGTGGTAATGACAAAAGAGTGTAGGAAAACAAACTGGATCCTGATGTCAAGTTGAGGGGTCCGGTACTGCTGTCGAGGGCAGCAAAGCTGAGGGTGGTTGCTGGGAGAGACCTGGATTTTAAGGACAACATCAGGGTTAATAGAGAATTTTGAAATATTTTGATCAAAAACATGTTATTTTTCTCCAGCATGATAGAAAAGAGTTGCATCCAAAAATATTTTCCTTTCCTGCCTAGGAATAACATTGAGCAATCCAAAGTGCATTAACATTCTGTGGTATCAACTTTACAGTTGCCTTGCATAATTAATACAAGACATTTATATTTTGAAGGACCCAGCAGCTCTCAGCATGCACAGTCCTCCTCACAAACGAAAAAAAAAAAATATATATGTAATTATACTGATTATCTAAAAATGTGGGTAATATTATGGACCCAATTCTAAATTAGATTTTCTACTTTTCACTAACTTTTATTCTGTAAAAATAGATCGAGCACCATGTAGGAAACTTTGCAAAAAAAAAACCAAAAAAAAAAAAAATCCATCAAATCAATTTTGTAGCAATTATAACAAAACAATACCAGCCTGAAAAAAAAGCTAATTCTTAATGGGAAGAAGATACACTGTTTGTATTAAAGGCGACAATTAATAAAAAGTTCATAAGAGGCTGAAATATAAATGTGTAAATATTTCCGTACAAGTTTTGAAGCCATATTTCCATTGGAAAAGCAAGTGAAAAATGTCACATATAATCAGTTTATAGAAAAAAACATTTGTTTTAAGGGACAAGTAGAATACAAAATGAGGAGACGAAAGAATTTATAGCCAGAAAATGTTGCCACATGATTTAGAGTGATTCTGGTTTGGCCAGTTTTTGTGCTGAACCAACTCCCCACTTTTACTTCCTTAAATGCAGCTATTCAGCTAAATTTCCGAGTAATTTCCCAGTGAACAGCTTGTCTGTCACTATGCTGAGGGGGTGGAGGCAGCGCCTAGCTTATCTCGGCTAAAGCGTCAATGCCAGTTAAACGGGGAGCACCCCGCCCCGACCGGGGGATAATGCTTCCTTATTTGGTCATGCTCTGGTTGACGGTTCCGCCTTCTCGCATGAGTCATGGCTCGGATGTGGGTGGATGACCGCCATTTTCACAACAGAGCCATCTGTGCAAGGCGGGGGAACCGACGTAAAAAAGACAATCCGCGCCATTTTGGCCACGCCACGTTGACAGTATCTGGTGTATACAAACACAACGGTCTAAACAAATACGATAATATCGCTGCAGCTAGAGTTATTCTAATAAAAATATATATAAGTTTTAGCCATCAGCATCCAAGTTAGTCGATATGGATGACAAGTTAAGAGTGATCACGGTGGCCATCATTGAGTGCCGCCGGCAAGACAGCCTCGGTCGAGACGCTGATATTTAACACTTGGCATTCATTTAATCGATTCGAACCAACCCTTTTTAATCATCATATCTCCAATTATACAGCCTCTTTGTGCTAACAAAACTAAATATTCCAAAGCTTCGGGTATTCTACCGCTCAGTGTGAAATTGTAAATCAAAATACTTACGCCATTTTGCAAGAAATAGCCAGTGCACTTAGCCGCTGCACTGCCGGGTTTTTGCCGCTGCAAATGTTGCTGGCGCACGCCTTTACACTGCCATTGTGGCGCTTTATGGGCTCTTAAGATAGCTCAATCTCTTGCACAGCAATACGGACGAAGAACAGACAAATATGGCCACACCGGGTTTTATAAAGTCGAAGCACTGCCCCTCCCTTGTATTCTTCCGCGGTTGAGTCTTATGGGTACGATCGTTTCAATGAAAGGGGTAGCGCGAGTGAGCGGAGTTTTTTCTGTGTAGTTGCAAATAGACTGGTAGCTCCGCTCACGCGGACAGTAATTGATTTAACAAACGCTAACTTCCTACCGTCACAGATAAACCTTGGCTCGAATTCGGCTGCGTCTTCCAAGGACGTGTTTCACCGCCGTACGATCTTTCTCTTAGCAACCGTGTCAGTTGACACACAAAGCAGGAAAAGAATACATCCCGAACTTTTCAAAACTGTTTATTTTCTTTTTTATGTAAAGTGAACAAATACTACAATCATGAGACCACAGAGTGCAACAAAGGTGACAACCACCTGGAGCATGAACAAATAAAAGCCAATATAATGATAAAAAAGGGGATCAACATATAAGTCTAAACAATGTATGTATTAAAAATATATCTGCAAAATCTCTTATATTCAACAACGAAAAAATTTTAGTTAAGCAAATTTTGCAAGAGAATTAAAAAATCAAAATCCTATCAGTCTCCACACTGCAGATATATTAGAATCTGTTCTTAAATTAAAGCCAAACCCATTTACACAGTAGTAGATAAAAACATTTCCATAAAAAAAAATCATTAACTGCCACATATGTGACTCAATGACCATTTATAAAACTATTTTCATTAATTTCAGATGGAACCATTCACATATTTGTATTATATTAAGCTGCACTTCCAATATTCACCACTGTTCGGCGCCAATTGCCTTTTTCCTCTGAGCATGGAGCCACTGCCCTGCTTGGATTTGCAATGAATCCTGGAATATCCAAAGCTACATAGGATACACTGGACCCATCCTTCAAATCGGGCATAAATTAAGGATGCATTTGTCGGCTGCTTAATGATGGCTGAGTTTGAATTCAGGGGCTGTGTCCTCCGAAGGCCAGATTCGTGAAAAAAAAAAAAAAAAACTATATACAAAAATTACACATAAGCATTAACGATTAAATATATCTATTTATATTATGTTTCTCCATGGCCTCTCGTATGGCTCCGAAGCGATTCTGGTCCGCCATCCGGTGTCTCAGGAGGGGGAAGCGGTGCAGCACCAACACTGTTTATAGTGGGGATGGGGTGCTGCTGACCTCGACTCGGGACATTGTGGGTCGGTGGGCGGAATACTTCGAAGACCTCCTCAATCCCACCAACATGCCTTCCATTGAGGAAGCTGGGCCTGGGGACTCTGGAGTGGGCTCTCCAACCTCTGTGGGCAAGGTTGCCGAGGTGGTTAAAAAGCTCCTCGGTGGCAGGGCCCCCGGGGTGGATGAGATCCGCCCGGAGATCCTCAAGGTCCTGGATGTTGTAGGGTTGTGTTGGCTGACGCGACTCTGCTGCATTGCATGGACATCGGGGGCAGTTCTGCTGGATTGGCAGACTGGGGTGGTGGTCCCCCTATTCAAAAAGGGGTGTGCTCCAATTACAGGGGAGTCACACTAAGCCTTCCCAGCAAGGTCTATTCAGGGGTGCTGGAGAGAAGGGTCCGTCGGATAGACGAACCTCGGATTCAGGAAGAGCAGTGTGGTGTTCGTCCTGGTTGTGGAACGCTGGACCAGCTCTACACCCTCAGCAGGGTCCTGGAGGGTGCATGGGAGTTCGCCCAACCAGTCTACATGTGCTTTGTGGCCTTGGAGAAGGCATTTGACCGTGTCTCTCGGGGAGCCCTGTGGGGCGTTCCTCGAGAGTACAAGGTACCGGGCCCTTTGATACGGGCTGTCAGGTCCCTGTATGACCGGTTTCAGAGTCGTTTCCGCATTGCTTGGGGTTCCTCCTGAGGGGCCAGAAGAAGTGGCTGGGGAGAGGGAAGTCTGGGCCTCCCTTCTTAAGCTGCTGCCCCCGCGACAGAGTTACTGTAGCTAATTAGAAGACAGGACTTATGTAGTAATATTTTGAAAAGCTGACAGCATGCCAGCATTCATGTTCTCTAGCTGAAAATAAGTCAAAAATGCTGAAACATTAGCTTTTTTTTTTTTTTTTGGATTATGTCTTTGTATGTGTGTTTGTTTTTTGGGTTGTGTTTGAGTGTATCTGAGACAATTCGCTTGAATCATTAGAACTTATTGGCACTATCTGTTTCATTCAGTTTCCTGTGTTACAGCCATTTTCTTGTGATGTTTCTTATACAGGAGTAGAAGCATTATAAGTGAATTATCTTCAATAATCTACCTGAAAAGGTAAAACACATTTAATTGTCATTCGTTATTTTTTTTTTATATAGATACATGTCTTGCATTTGGAGAGCTAGTTTTTATTTTCTAGGTTCTTTTTTGTAGTTTTCTGTCTCATTTTGGAAGTCTGGCTCTCATGTTTCCTTCCTATTATGTTTGTTCTTGCTCTTGTTGATTTTTATCCCAGTCTTATGTTGAGTATTTGTTTGAGTCTTTTTTTAAGCTGAGTGGTGTTCTGTTTGTAAAATGTTTTTTTAATTTTTTTATTTGGTGTCCCTATATGTTCACTTTCTATCTGATATGAGACTTTTGAAGTTGTCCTTGAGCATTCACAGCCTATACCTATCTCCACAATCTGCAAATTCTCTTTAAAACTCTATAATGAGCTTTGCTTCATATTCATTTTAAACCTAGGTTTAGCAGAGTTATCTACCAATTATTTTCCTTCCACTCAGCTTTCCGATAATATGATTGAATACGGCATTCTGTGAGCCTTCCTCTTTAGAAACAACTTATTGTGGCCTTCCTTCCTTGTGAAGGGTCAGCCGGACATCTTCAAATGTAAGTCAGAAGTCTTCAGAGGTTTAGGGGCAAATGTCTTCTTAGGAAAGGACTCCAGCAACATTTTAAAGAGGCAAACAGTCTTCCCATTGAATGGAAAGGTCAGTGGTACCCAAAAGCCAGCCCTTAGAGACCAGTGTGTTGTATTGTTTAGACGTTACACGTTTACCACACCCGAGTCATTAGCAGGCTCATCCCAATCTTGGTCTGATTTCAATTAGATTCATTTTCTTCCAAATTGAACTTAACTATGCAGGAATAATCAATTTAAAATATTCAAGTGAATGATCCCCAAACACATGAGTAGGACAGCTCTGGTTTGGACCACATCAGTATTTAAAAAAAACTCCAGCTTTTAATTTTGATAAACTTGTAAAAAACACATTTTCAGTTTTGGTAACGGTAAGTCATAATTATTTACACACAATAACTGCCTGGAATATATTATTGTTCTGTTGTTGTTTTTTAAATTATTTACCGAAACAATCAAGCTTTGAAATAATCTTCAACAAAACTCAAATCTGTTCAGATGTACCTGTACATTTGGACGAACACATTTGTTTAGGATTGCCTTTGACTGTTCTAGTTAAACAGTTCACCTGAAAAATCATTAGTTCAACTTTTTTATTTTCTTTAGTCCAGCTGTTTTTGTTTTTTTTTGTTTCTGCGTTTTTTTAAATTTTTTTTCCTACTTGCTTTGATTCTGTTTTATTTTCCTATATTTTATTAATGTAAAGCACTGAATTGTGTTATACAAATACATTTGCCTTGCCTTGCCTTGCCTTACATGTTTAGGTAAAGATGTTTGGTTAGATACATATTCTTTCTTCTGTGCAGCATATGCTCTTGTCTGCTGTTGGTCTCTGGGGGTTGAGCACTGATCTCTATTTTTTACTAGATTGCTGTTTGCCCGAACAAAGTGAAGCAACGGGCCGGCATATTGGTACTTCCCACTCCCACGGGCATGCACAGTAAAAAGGCCTATGTGTGTAACATTTGGCTGCAAAAAAAAACAGTTTGCCAGCTGTGGGACGACATTTCAAAGGTAAGTTCACAGTCAGTGGATTAACTAACCAAGAAAATCCATATATACGGCCATGTATACCATAGTATGTAACATAACATTAGCCTCTCACACTGACTCCACTGACTGAGCCATTGACATTGTGTCTAATGTTAGAAAATTGAAAGTAGAGCAAATAGAAAGTAATTCACAGAGAAATGTCAATGTAGTAATTCTGTATATGTGGATGACGCTGTCGTTTTTGTGGTGTTTGTTGTATTTATCATTCGAGTCATGTGCTGAAACCTATTGCATGTTATATTGGTGAAAAAAAACCCAACTCAAACATTTTTAAAGGCTAATGCATAGACACAGCAAAAAAGTATATGGCATCATGCATGCAAAATTTGCAAATAGAAAAATACTATAGTATTAAAAGACATGCACTTGTAATTCAGTCTTGATGTAAAATCTTGAAATTATATGCAATACCTTATTACCATAACAATGCAATCAATAAATGCATATTACATGTATATCAAATATATATAATAAATTTAGCACTTTTGCCACATCTGTATTATTGTGCTCCATCAACACATACATTTAGTTGTGGTGATTGGCATTATATTTTATATTAAGTGATTTATAGATTTCATTGACTTCATAATGACTATGCAATGTGATGTGCCTTTTTTTTTAACCATAAGTTACATTAAACTGCTTATACTATGAAACAGCAAGTGTGTGGAGAAGTGATGGATTTATCTTTATTTTGAAAGTTTCAAAACTAAACATGAGAACATCAACGTTGTTCGATGATGTAGCGCATATATTGTTCACATTGATACCAGTCTAACTAGGGAGTACCAATATGGAAGCCTGTGGCTTTTTTCCACCCCATACTATCAAAGGACAATCAGCATTCCAGTGAATAAATAGAGTTAAGTGGGGTTGAGTCTGTTCAGGCCAGTCATTAGTAGAGAGTTAAACTGGATTGCCCCCTAGAGGTAATTGTGTGCATTGAAGTTACATTTAATGTCAAGAAGAGACAGTAAAGCTACACTAAAGATAGACACAAATAGCAGTACTTATTTTGCTGTAATAGCTGATCCTTGTCTGCAGAACTTTATTATGTAGGGCTCATTCATTAAAATCACAGGGTGTTTCAAAGCAGC